CCCCGCCCCCTGCCAGCCAAGGACCAGGCTGCTCTTCCCCTTCGCTGGGCCTGGCGCACAGTAGGTGCTGGTGACCTTTGTTGAACGGATGAGGGATAGACAAGCTGTGGCTGTGGCCAGGCTCTGCTCAGGGCCTCAGTTTCCCCATCTGCACAGGAGGGGCTAGGCCTGACCGCAGGGAGAAGGCTGCGTGCTGGAGAAGCCACTGTCCCTCTCTGAGGCTCCATGTCCCTCTGTGAGAGGGACCTCCCCTGCCTGTCGAGGCTGCTGTGCCAGGAGCCGGGGCCAGAGGCCAGCGGGGCGCCTGCACCCGGCAGGTGCTTGGGCTGCTAGGGAGCCCGCACCACCAGCCCCGCCTCCAGATACACCCGGTACCTGAGGGGCCGTAGGCGAACACCGTGGCGTTGTATCCAGAGACGACGCTGTCCACCAGGCGCTGGGTGGTGGCGCGATACACGTCCCCCTGCGGACAGACAGAAGGACACCACAGCCCAGTGGACAGCAGCTGGAGGTAGCCTGCAATGTCCATGCCGTGGGGACATGGACAGGGCCCCACAGGGGAGGGCAGTCCAGGCACAGCGGGCATGGGCTCCACCCCGGATGCGCGTAACTGCACCACCCGAGGCCTCACCTGCGCCGGCCCCGCCTCACAGTGTGAGACAAGGCGGACCCCGCAGGGAGGCTGCGGAGGGGACACTCCACCCTGAGCCCGGCCCCCGTCATACCACACTCCTGTGAGTCCTTTCCAGGGCTTCTGAGAAAACTGGGAGGAATCAGAGGGAACGCAAAGGGCTGGGGCAGCCACAGGGCTCGGCGTCTGGGAGGAGCGTGTGACCCTCTTTATGGGACAAAACTGGGACCAGGGAGTGGAAGTCTCCACCGGCAGAATTTAAGGTGAGGCGGCAGTACAGCGATGGGAGTGTGGGGTAGTGAGCTCCCTGTCCCTAGGGGCATTCAAGAAAGGACTCCTCCAGGGACCCAGTGGGACAGGTGGCAGGAAAGAAAGAGGTGGACTGAGATGGCTGGAAATTCCCTGCCCGCCCCCAGATGTGCGCCTAATCCCCTCTCCCCAAGTCTGGGCCAGGGAAGCGGGCAGAGGGATGCCATGCCTGGGGTGGCCGAGCCTTTTTGACACCTGGCAGCTCCTCCCTCACCCCCTTGGAGCTCAGGGCTGCCATGCTGTGAGGAGGCCCAGGCCACACGGGGAGGCCACAGGTGGCTGCTGCAGGTGACAGCCCCCACGGACGCCCGCAGCACCAGTCCACTGACAGCCCTGTGGGTGGGCCATGGGGACGTGGGCCTTCGGGTGCCTGAAGTCCCTCCCCATTATGACTAAAGCCGCCCAGGACTGATGGGAACTGGCAGCTACAGTGGAGAAGGGCGGGGAGGGAGGAGGTGCTGGTGAGGACGACCTGACCTGGCCTCAGACTCCTCGTCTGTGGACTGGGGACTCGAAGCCTCAGCCTGGACCCTGCCCGCCTCTGCTCTCACAGTGGGTTCCTCCTTCAGGTCTCAGCCAAAAGCCCCCCGAAAAGGCCTCCGCTCGCTGCCACTGCACCAGTGCCAGTGCGTTTGTTTCTATTGCTCACTGTGCCGCCCCTCCTGGGACAGGAGCCCTGTGCAGGGAGTGTGTTCTAGACACATGGCAGCCAGACACCCCTGTGCTAGATGGATGGGTGGACGGACGGATAGGTGAATGAATGGACGGATGAACAGACAATGGATGGATAGATGGATGGATTGGAAAATGGGGGATGTATGGGGGGATGGAATGATGGATGAATTTGTGGGTGGATGGATATGGATATGTGGATGGATGAGTGGATGGATGGATGCACGAATGGGTAGATGGATGGGTGGATAGATGGATAGGTGAATGGATGGATGGATGGATGGGTGAATGGATGGATGGATGGATGGATGGATGGGAGGTGGATGGATGAATGGATGGATGGTGGATGGATGGATGGATGGATGAATGGATGGATGGTGGATGGATGGATGGATGGATGAATGGATGGATGGTGGATGGATGGATGGATGGATGAATGGATGGATGGTGGATGGATGGATGGATGGATGAATGGATGGATGGTGGATGGATGGATGGATGGATGAATGGATGGATGGTGGATGGATGGATGGATGGATGAATGGATGGATGGTGGATGGATGGATGGATGGATGAATGGATGGATGGTGGATGGATGGATGGATGGATGAATGGATGGATGGTGGATGGATGGATGGATGGATGAATGGATGGATGGTGGATGGATGGATGGATGGATGAATGGATGGATGGTGGATGGATGGATGGATGGATGAATGGATGGATGGTGGATGGATGGATGGATGGATGAATGGATGGATGGTGGATGGATGGATGGATGGATGAATGGATGGATGGTGGATGGATGGATGGATGGATGAATGGATGGATGGTGGATGGATGGATGGATGGATGAATGGATGGATGGTGGATGGATGGATGGATGGATGAATGGATGGATGGTGGATGGATGAATGGATGGATGGATGAACAGATGGATGGATGGATGGTAGATGGATGGATGAATGGGTGGTGGATGGATGGATGGATGGATGGTGGATGGATGGATGGATGGATGGATGGATGGATGAGATGTGTAAACCCTGCTAACCTCCTTGATCATCAGGGAAACCCCTGTGATGAGCGATGGATGAGACCATCTGGCCACACAGTCCTCCCCAGGGGATGGCAGGGCTTGGTGAGGACAGTCAGGACAGCCTGGCCCAGAGGGACTAAGGGGCAGTGGGCAGAAGGTACCTGCGATGCGTGCTGGTCGAAGACGGTGTCAAAGATGAAGGTCTTCTCCCGGGACCGGTGTGTGCGCAGCGTGTCCTCGGGGTCCTCGCCCGGGTCCATGAGCACCACCATCTAGAAGCAGGGGCGGAGCGTCAGTGGGGCTGGGGGCGCCCAGGGAACCAGGTGGGCAGGCTCCGCAGGATGGGAGGGCTTCGTGAACTGTCAGGTGTTGAGCCAGCGTCTGGCTCCTGCGTTCCCCTGCGTGACCCCAGCACGTTCACTCCCCCGGGTCTCCCTCTTCTTGCCTGGGGCTGAGCTACCCCAGCGAAGGGGAGGACGGAGGGCGGGGTGCACAGGTACCTGGAGAAGAACCCACCTGAGCTCTGCAGCTCTTGCTTTCTCTGAGGCCCGGCCGCCCCTCCTGGCCCCGTCCTATCTCACATGAATGCGTAATTATGAAGGAGGGTGTGAGGACGTCTGGGGGCCATGGGAGGTTCAGAGGCACCTTTCCCAAGGGGTTGGGGGGCAGGGCAATTAGAGACCAGTCAGCTCTGTTTACTCTGAGCTAGAGGGCGCTGGGGAGGAGCCACAGTGTTAGGGACACAAGGGCCACATGGCCACCTGCCACCCTGCCCTGGCCCTTGGTGCTTGGCTTTGGAAACAGGTCCCGGAGGGGAGGGCTGCCCAGAGGTTCAGGGGGTCGGGGGGGGGCAGGGGGAACAGGCAGAGCAGCCCCGGGAGCCTGGCTTCGGGCCAGCACTTCTCCCAGGACATAAGCCAACTCTCTCTCCTTCTAGTGAGGGTCCAAGGCAGCGATTTTCAACCTTTGTCATCTCAGCACATAAGCTAATTACTCAAATTCTGCGCACACCAAAAAATATATTAATTTTTTGCCGATCTAATAAAAAATAGGTATAATTTCGATCAATTTACAAATAATAATAATTACCTACGCTTTTTTACTCCAAAGTGACTTTTTAAAAAACCAGGTGCCAACCCCTAGCTGGTTTGGCTCAGTGGATAGAGCATCGGCGTGCAGACCAAAGGGACCTGGGTTCGATTCTAGTCAATGGCACCTAACTTGGTTGGGTTGCCAGCTCCTCCCTGGCCCGGGCCCTTGTCAGAGCGAATGCGGGAGGCAACCAATCGATGTGTTTCTCTTACATCAGTATTTTACTCTATCTTTCCCTCTCTCTTCCACTCTCTCTATAAGTCAATGGAAAAATATCCTTGGGTGAGGGTTTAAAAAAAAGAAAGAAAACAACAGCCCTAACCGGTTTGGCTCAGTGGATAGAGCGTCGGCCTGCGGACTGAAGGGTCCCGGGTTCGGTTCCGGCCAAGGGCATGTACCTTGGATGCGGGCACATCCCCAGTGGGAGGTGTGCAGGAGGCAGCTGATCGATGTTTCTCTCTCATCGATGTTTCTAACTCTCTATCCATCTCCTTTCCTCTCTGTGAAAAATCAATAAAATATATTTAAAAAAAAAAAAAAGAAAAGAAAACAACAAAAAACAGGTGCCCATACTCGTCTATAAGGATTTCTGGTACCAAGAGTTAACCAATCAAACACAACCTTATTATGTGACATAACCAATAAGATGCAACTCTATTATGTGACCTATACATTCACGGTTCAGGACAGGGCATTCACACCCACGGCTGTAGTTGTGCTGGCCGCTGTCACTTTTTATTTGAAAGTCTAAGGCAGCAGTTCTCAACCTGTGGGTCGAGACCCCTTTGGCGGTCAAACGACCCTTTCACAGGGGTCGCCTAAGACCATCCTGCATATCAGATATTTACATGACGATTCATAACAGTAGCAACATTACAGTTATGAAGTAGCAACGAAAATAATTTTATGGTTGGGTCACAACATGAGGAACTGTATTTAAAGGGCCAGAAGGTTGAGAACCACTGGAAGGGAAAAGCGGGCAGTGCCCTGACGAAAGCGTCAGGTGTTGCCTGTTTTATAAATCCCTGCGGCACAGGTTGAAGTCGCTGGTCTAAGGCTCCCACTGCACCTGCTGGCTGGGCCGGGCCTGCGCTGGAGGGGGCCCTGGCCTGGTCCCTGCAGGGCTCCAGCCCAGCCCGGGGAGTGGGCCTGGCGGGTAAGGACTCCACACGGAAACACTGGTGTGGAGGGGCATTCGGCCGGTTCACTCTGAAATGTCCCCTAAAGGGAGTCTGTGATCAGGGAGTGAGAGGGACGCGAAAAGGGAGGACATTGCTGCCTGGGACCCTGGGCTCAGAGGACCTGGACCCTCTGCAGGCCCTCCAGGGGCTCCGAAGGCCTTCGAGTAGCCTGACGTCACTTCAAAACATAAAGCTAGGCTGGGCTGGGTCGCTCGGTTACTTAGAGCATCATCCCAATAGGCCAAGGTTGCAGGTTCGATCCCTGGTCAGGGCATGCGTGCATAAGTGAACAAGTAGATGTTCTGTTCTCACATCAAATTTAAAAATAAAATAAAAGGTAAAAGAAAATGCTACAACATGGACGAACCTCAGAAACACGCTCAGTGCGGGAAACCAGCCGCAAACG